TCGCCACAAGTTCGTGAAATTGACATTGATGGTGCGTGGCTGCACTGTATTTAAATATTGGCGTATGATATACTTCCATGTGTGGCTGTGTGATATATTCATTCTGAAGCTGAATTAAAGCAGTAGGCTAACTCGCTAATGGTGAACATGTGAGTTTGTTAATAAGCCAGCAGGCACAACAGTGATAAACGACTTTCGCGAGGGAACACAAAAGGTATTGCGAGGTAACACAATACTATTGCGTGGGAAMACAAAAGTAAAAAAAAATCTCCCATGTCCCCTTGCGGGCTCCGTATAAATTACTGCCATGTGTGTGGGACATTTGTTCATTTTTGTTGACTTTATAAGTTATAATATGAAGAGTCATTCACTTTACATTGAGATGGAAAAAAGGCATTTACGAGGAAATTATGATAGAATACTAAAAATCCTATAGACAAGCTATGGTGGAAAAATGTGTTGCTGTGCATTTCTCTTACACTTTGGAATTGTCCTTTTTAAAATAGTTTCCCCATTACAGTTTTTATTATGTACATTTTTTTTTCAATTTTCTTTTTTATTTCAAACATTTTGTTTACTGGAAAAGAGAAATGGAGAAATTCAACAAACATTCCCCCTAACATCCTCCATTTCTGTATATGAGACATCATAGCTGTGCATCAGAAAMAAGACAGATGTGTGCAGATGGGATTTTTTTTTTACAGGAAAACCCCAGTTTTYCCTCAAAGGCCTGTTTGTTCAGAGCCAGTGAGCTAATGACCAGGTTGCCACTTCACACTGAAAAGTCTTAGCCTGCTGTTAAACAGAAGAAAAAAAATCAATGTTTTTCAAAGCAGTTCATCACAGTAATAAATAAAAAGTTCACCTCAGTCTAGCATTCCACTTACACACAGACATACACTCCTCCTATATCACATTTATGACACTGTGGTATAACTGTGCCAACTTTCAAAGAACATAATTCTTTTAAAAACTTTTTAATTTCTAAGCCTCCAAACCTGTCTTTTTTTTTTTATTCTGACCCACATTTACACTTTTGTTTTTGCTGATTCTTTTGTTTAGGAAGGATAAAGTCCAAAAGACTGACAAAAAAAAGATTAGCAAGTACATACTGTGACTGCACTGGTTGCAGTGTACATTTCTCATGTACAAAACATGACAAAAATCATTCAAAACAGATCTCACTRTTCATAGTTAATATAATAACCTGTGATAATGAGCTGTTGACTGAATCACAAGGTTTGTCACATCAATGCGTTGGAAAGCCACACACACGTGTGAAGTAAAAGATGAAGAGGGATGAGGTAAGGAGATGGGAATCGAGAGGAGAGATGGAGCCTGAGTTATAAATACAACATGCTGTGTTGGATGGAACAAGACCYCAGAAAGAAAGATAAGAAGAAAAGGGGTAAGAAGGGGTGGCAGCAGATCCCTGTGTTCATGCCAAATCAACCGGTGACCCCTGKATGACACCTCACACCAACGAACAGCTGTCTAGTTAATTAGAAGGCAAGACAATTAATAAATGTTCACTTTGCCTTTCTAGCTTATWTTTGCACTTGTCAAATTCCAAAAATAGTCCCACATTTACTTAACTGTCCTGCTGCCCTTGGGTTAAAATGACCCCGAAGGTCTCAGATTTAAAACTAACTTCCTTTTTAAAAAGCAAAACGTATTTAAACAGGTTCTTGGACTGCTGAACAATGAACAAAGGTTGAGCTGAAAAAACTTTATTTGCTCTTYGATAGGTTGAATTGTCCATTGTTTGGTTAATTCCATGATGACAACAGAAAGGCTTGATAAAAGAAGATCTGAAAGGTGAATCTCATWGCAGAGTTCAGTCAGAACTGTTCTTGTGACACAAGAAAAACAGAGCATTTATGAACTACGCGAATACTGGGAATGATACTACAGCAGTCAYGAAAATGTAAAGGTTTAAAAATTTCCTGTAGTTTTAAAATCTGGCACTCATCTTCAAATGGTGAGCTTTGACCACATCACAAGACATGTTCTTGAAAACTGTTCTAAAACTCTCTGTATAAACTTCTAGATGCTTTGCTCTTTCCTCACCTTATAAAATCCAGGYAACCCCAAACTAATTTAAGGAGGTCCCAAGATTTTTCTAAAGCTGCTCTACAGAGTAAAGACCGTTCCTACAAAAGCAGATTAATCATGTTTAGACCGGTGCCACTGAGCTCAAACCAAATCTCTTTCGGAGATGATGAGTTATCGCTTGTGTCATTTTTATGTGCAGGGTGAAAAACGATGCCCAGGGCATAAAAATACATTGCAATGAGTGCAGCATGCAGAGGTGCTGAGTGCTGTGATGTAGGATGCTGCAAAGGACAGAAGAGGATCAGACTGAAACTCTGTTGGCAAGCTTCCTGTATACGGGACTCTGCCGCAGGGGAAAGCCGCTCAGCATAAGCCCAGATCAGTCTAGTCAAGGAAAGATACAATCAGGACTCCACTAGAAGGGGGAGATATTCAGCAGCTTTTAATAGACATACCATCAATCATGAGAATATGCCTGCCTGCTCACTGTAACAGACACCAGCTGACACAATCCTTTGGATAGGTACGTCACCAACAAACAAGTGAACACGTTTGTAAAATTTTCCTACTCGATGTCATTTGAGCAGATGCTTTTTCAATGTCTAAATTATCTATTGCTTTTTTTTCTTTCAGTGTGTAATTATGTATTTTTGGTCTTTTAAACTGTGCTGTCTGCATTTCACTTTGAAACCCTGTTTATAAAGCACAGCAGTGGATCATGTATTGCAGAAACTTCAACAGTTGATAAAGGTAGGCCTGTGCTAGAAAGCTGCACTGACGAAAACTCAAAAACAAGCACAACAAACCACATTGTTTGTGGCCTACCAAGATTAGACGGTATTGGAGAGAATGAAAGGACAATAAAAATGACAAGGGGAATAACAGACACGTCAGCCATGGAAAGATGTGTAGGTTGAAATAATGACAAGTTAAGGCAGAAGAKGACAAAGAAAAAAGTTCCCCTAAAAAGATCACAGCCCATATTAAAACAGTTTCGACAATGGAACTGGAGGCTGGAAAGTGGATGCAAATATAGAAGATGCTGAGTCGCATGACATTTTGGGAGATTAACATAAAAAAAATCCTAGTGAAAAGTCACTGAAATTTTGTCAATTTGAGAGTAAACCCGTTGGCTTTTGAAAAGCGACAGATGCAAAGGAGGCTATTTACCTGGTCATACTCCAGGGCTCCTGGGTAAAGGGGCCAGCCCAGAAAAAGTTCGGCTATCACGCAGCCTAGGGACCACATGTCTATGGCTTCACAAAACGGCAATCCCAAAATAATCTCTGGAGCCCTGTGGAAAAGAAAACACACAAAACTGTCAGTCAATATGCTAAAACAAAAGTTACACATTTGAAATATATATATATATATATATGTGTGTGTGTGTATACATATATGTGTGTGTGTATGTGTGTGTGTGTGCCGTGTGTGTGTACATACACCTAACCTTTGCAAGGATTTTCAGAGAGAAAAGTAACTCCAAAACATTTACAAATAAAACAGAGTGGTATTTATTACTATAAAGCTCATTATTTCTTGTTTACATTTTCACTGCTGAGTCATGTATTTTCACTTTGTAAAGTAGTGTTGATGTTCTAAACCAGAGGAGCCCAAAGTGGGGCCCGCGGGCCAAATTTGGCCCACCAAGCCTTTAGATTTGGCCCACCAACAGTTACCAAAGTTACAAGGTTGTAACCTGTTATCCTATAGGTAGAAACACAGTDTTTCCATTGGTCAAATGACTATATAAAAGGGCTGTAGTGAAGGTAGTTTTCAGTCATGGTGCTGATATATCTTTGATTTATTAGGATTAAACAAGAAACATGAAACGACAACAAGAAATATTTAGATCAGATTTAACCCCGCATGTAGATTTGCACACTTTATAAGGCCACAAAAACTCATATTTTATCAATTTATGATATGTCCCACGAGCCTTTGCTACTTGAGCGTATGGCAGACTTTCTCCAAGTGCACAGCCTAAAACAAAAGAGGGCCATTGCATAGCTTAATGGTTAAAAATAAAGGACTTTACTTTTAAAAAGTATTTGTATTTCAAGTATTATATAACTTCATTTGGCCCACAGCCATGGATATATTTTCGTTTTGGCCCCCATGAGGAAAATATTTGAGCACCCCGTTCTAAACAAATAAACATTAATTTTAAGCTATTCTTGACAACAGTCACTTAGATGGGATTGTGTGGTACATGTGTAACAGAGCCAAATTACTCCTAAGCTAGTGCTGAGTGCGTCACAGTGCCAAGTCTCAGAATGCTGCACCAGTAGGTTAGCAGGTCAGTCAGGCTGAGATTAGAGATTTGACAGACTGTTCTTTCTGTTTGACTGAAAGGAAGTGCAGMAAATACTGCTTTTGCCTATTTGTCACTTTAGTATTATGTCATTGTTGCCATCATCATCACAATCATAGCTAATGAAGCTACAAGACTGACAGAATCAGTAAAACAAACTGACAGTAAGGAAGTTTGTGTTCAGAGCACATCAAAAACATTTTAGAAATAACAAAGCACAAAGATTAAAAATTCAGAGCCTTCATGTCAAGTATGAGCTTTTGTGTCCAGGAATGACCCTTGTGTGGGGCTGTTCAAACTCCCAAAAACATTCTTTCTGAGTAAAATCACCAGTCTACTCACAGTCTTTTCTGAATCATTGACTTAATGTGATTATTCGTGCAAATGGCTAACTTGGAGAAAAAATACCTTATTCAGAGATGGGATCCAGATCACATTTACCTGCTCAGCATGCAAATAAACACATTCCCTGCATCATACAGTTAACTGTCAGCAGAGCAGCAGACACTAAGTAGGTGCAATGTATGAGAAAAGTGAAGAAGCATGTTTGCTGTTTCAAAAAAAAAAAACTAAACTAAACAAGACAAACCTGCTCTTTCAAGCTGAAAATACTTAAAGATACAGTGGGTAAAATAAGTATTGAACACGTCACCATTTTTCTCAGTAAATATATTACTAGAGGTGCTAATGACATGAAATTTTCACCAGA